GATGACGGCCGGCTGCAGGCGTGCCGGGAGCGCGACCCGCTTCCACCCCGCCGGCAACAGGTGGGGACCTGAATAACTTCACATCTTTTCAGGGGGGAACGAGGGGCATGGGGGAGCCGACGGGAGGATTAGATCAGATGTTATTGCCGGTGAAAAATTAAACAGAGCGGTGCTCTGGGGAGCACAGATTAATATATTTGGTGACTCCGCGTGCACAAAGCCTCGCCATTGTAGCCGTGTCTGAATGCCTGTGAATAGGATGGAGCATATGTGGCCTGTCACCGCAGGTGCCCACATCTGTTCGTCTCCGGGCAGATGCTCTCAGAAAAGGGGAGAGCATTTCCAAAAGCTCCGGCCCGCCCCATCCATACCCATCCTCTTTCTCATAATCACCTTCTGCAGAGGAGTTGTTGCCCACTTCTTCTCCCCCCCTCCCCACACCATCACCACCCCCCCACCACCACCACCTTCCCGGCACATAGAGAAATGCAGAAAGAAATAAGAACAACGCAAATTGGAAGCGGCTCAGAAAGCCCTGGAAACAGATGATCGAACTGCTTCTCCCCTCCCCGGCCCCGAAGTTTATTAGCAGCAGGTTTTGCGCTGCAGCGGGCGCACAATGCTGGAGATGTGTGCACCGTGCAAAGGGGCTGCGGGCCACAGGGGAACAGAAAAGCCCTTCATGCGTGAAATGCAGCCCGGTACGGTGGCGTGCTGTGCTGGCGGTGGCAGGGGAGGAGCGGTCGGTGCAGCTACCGCCTGGAGTGGCAGTTTGCAGCTACTATTTAGAGTTCTGGCATAATTAAATTAATTAATAAAAGCGGGGAAATGAGAAGAGAGGGTTTCCCTGTGAGAACTGGTGAACACAGCGATCACTGCCGCTGAAGTGGGTAGCAGGAAGGAATAATTTCCAGCCATCCAACAAAATCTCGCAGCTGGAATGCAGAATATTTTTCCCAGAAGCACCATCACATTTTTTTATCCCATGTAGGTGACCTGAGCTGGGATCGCTCCCCTTCCCTGCTCTGTGACACCCTGGCAAGCCAAGCCAGGCCTCCGTGCTGGACAGGGTTACGCCAGGCTTGCCTGGTGGGGCGCAGGCTAGATCTCGGGATCGCAGGGTATTTTGGGTTAGAAGGGACCTCAGAAGGCCACCTCGTACAAGCACGGCCCGCGGTTCCTAGCGTGGCGAAGGTTGTGAGTGTCCTTGGAGTTGAAGGGGGGCAAAGAGTTCTCCAAATGCGAGGCTGAGCCGCTCCCCTGGGGGAGTGAGAGCACCTGAATCGCCGTGTCCCAGAGCTGAGGCCGGGGGAGGCAGCGGGAGCCACGCGGCCCGG